TTTCAAGATGGATTGTGAGGTGTTGTTTTCCTTAAAGCCTCGAACATATGCCACAGAATTCATCAGGGTCAGAGCGGCTATCAACCTGTTGTCTGGACGCATCAAAGTTTGGGCTCACCAAATGTTGCAGACGAAGAGTCCTGTCCTGGTCAGCTGGGAATCCTTTAGTACTGCTATGGACTCACAATGTAAGACCACTGTGGCCAAGTCAGCTCCACGTACTAAAAAATCTCAGACTCTTCCTAACCAAGAAACCGAGTACCACCACTACGCCCCAGAAATGCCTCCTTATGTTCCAGCTCCCAGGAAAACTCCAGAGGTATCCGGTGTTCCACTTGACCCTGTGGAACCTATGCAATTAGGACTCGTCCACTGCAAAGTGACACCTAAGGAAAAAGACCGAAGGAGAAGCTATGGCCTATGTTATTACTGTGGAGAAAAAGGGCACTTCATCACGCTTTGTCCTGTTCGCCCTCCTAGACCTCCAGCTCTCCGACTTGGTACTAGTTTCCTTCGCCCTGTGTACACCGCATACCAGCCTAAAAAGCCAAATAGAAGCCGTTGTGCTTGCACATGCTTGGCTTCCGCGAGAAAACCTCCATCCCCTGCTCCAGAGCCTCCTGCATCTACTCCCGAAGTTGCTTCCTGTGATACCACCACTACTTCCTGCCCGCCCGAAGAGGTTTTACCTGTGGATTGTGCCGTTGCTTCTAATGGCACTATAGTCCGTAAAGAAGACCTTGAAATGTTCGAAAAAGCATTGTTAGCTGCGAACACTGCTCCTGCCAAAGTTTTGGAAGTGCTTGCCACCTGTACCCGGAACCTAAAAGACCTGGACAATTCTCCAGCCGTACCAGAAGCTGGTACTGCGGACTCCCAAGCTGTAAAGGGAATCCTTGCTGGGGAGTTTGACTATGGGGACTCACTGGATTCAGATAGTGACCCTGGAGAGGTGTACTATGCTGACAATGAACCCATTCACGCCCGGAGGTCGTTTTTAAAGGGGGGGGTACTGTCACGGTTCTCACCTGATAGACAGACGGCAAGACGTGGTCGCTCTTGGAGTTCCCAACAGGGGACTTGAACCGGGGATCTTCTCAGTCCTGGTCCTGCTTTCTACCTCTGAGCCACAGCAGCTATTTACAGTGAAGACTGATTCCAGTCCTGTTCATCCTGACATGGCTACTACTCTGGGGGCTGCACCTTGACTTGGCTGTGTTTCACCTGACTCTGATCAGTCATCAGCAGGGTATATAAACCCAGCCTCGCCCTGTGCTCAGGGTCAAGTCTTTGATCCTGTTTGTTCCAGTGTTCCTGTTTCATCGCTTCGCATTATTGACCCCGGCTTCCTGACTCGTTTATTCTGACTTCTGGCATCCCTTGACTTCGGCTACTCCTCGTTGTTCCTGTCCTCTGGCATCCTTTGACCTCGGCTATCCCTCGACCATCCTGCTGGTTCAGTCCTTGCCTGTCCTGCGTATTGGTACTGCATCCTGCACAGCCCCCGTGCACAGACCCACAGGCCAGGTGAATTCTTACCTGACCACCTCGGCCTGTGGCTATCTGCAAGGGTGAGCATCATATCTGCGCTACAGACTCCCAACTCAGGTAAGACCCTGACACATACTGCCCAAGTAATAGTGAACGGGGCACTGACTGATGAGTTCTTAATACAAAACGGAACCTGCCAGGGCTGCCCCTTGTCCCCATTGCTCTTCGTCCTTGCCCTCGAACCTTTCATGACAGCCATTAGGCACCACAGCGACATCACAGACGGGGGACACACATTATAAGGTGGCTGTCTATGTGGACGACCTCCTCTTTTTTGTCTCTCACCCAGAGACCTCCCTCCCGAATATCTTACAAGCTTTTAAAGTATTCAAAACCATCTCCAACTCAAAAATAAACTTTTCTAAATCGTACATCGTAAATCATACATGGACCTACCCAGTGGTCGGACTACCCCCCTGCACCTAAGCTTCCCCTTCCAGTGGGTGGAACATAAGATCTGCTACCTGGGAACGTGGGTAACCAGACAGAGTGACGACCTATACAGGGAAAACTTCACCCCCATGCTGGCAGCGTTCCGGCGAGAAATTACGGAATGGTCCTACCCACACATATCAAGGCTGGGGAGGGTTCAGGTCATTAAAATGAACTTCCTCCCACGCTTGCTTTACCTATTCCAAACATAGTGATAACCAAACTGTTTTTCAAATCCCTACGCTCAGCAATGGGACAATACATATGGAATGGGAAAAGACCGAAGATCAAACTCCTTGCCCTCACACTGCCCAATGAGAGGGCTGGTCTAGCAATCCTGGACTTCCATCTCTACTATATAGTTGGACACCTCCAAAGAATTATGGAGTGGACCAAGACTAATGTCCACAAACTATGGAAGGTGGCGGAAGAGACGAGGACAGGTGGACCTGTCTCTGTCCTGCCGTCGTGCTCCGGCAGGGGGGGTCGGACAGGGCTGCTCCACACTCACACAACACACCCTATGGGTCTGGCAGAGAGTATCCAGGACACACAGTCTGACCCAATACCATTCACCTCTCTTACCCCTGACACACAATCATGACTTCCCCCCGGCCTAAACCCGAACGCCTTTAGGGGCATAATCCACATGACCAATCCCAGACTCCACCATATTCATACCCAGACGGGCTGTAGGAGGTTAAATTACCTACTCGGGGGCGAGCCCCCTACCTTCCTACAGTCCTTCAAATATAAACAAATGACAAATTTTATCGACACCCTCCCCAAGGGGCAAGCACGTACTAGGAACCAGACCACTTTTGAGGAGTGCTGCATGCACCCTGACCCACAACCCAATGGGATCTCATTCCTATACTCCATGTTGCAGAGAGAAACCCCGACAGAGATACCTGCCTTCATGGGCAAATGGGAGTCTGCCCTGGGGAGGACTTTTACTGACACAGAGTGGGAAATAATTTGCTACTTTACGCACCACTTCTCTGTCTTCAGCAGGACACAGGAGGCGGCATTTAAACTGCTGAGTAATTGGTACTGTACCTCGGCCCTATTACACGCAATAGACCCATCTCACTTTGACCTTTGCTGGAGATGCGGTAAAGAGAGAGGCACTACACTACATCTCTGGTGGGACTGTGACAAAATTAGGCTGTTTTGGGTGGGAATACATAACATGCTAGAGAAATTCTCTGACGCACCACCACCACTGGAGCCAGCAGCAATGCTCCTACACCACACGGCCAACCCCAGATCCCGGTATAAGAAATCCATGTCCATTAGAATCCTGAATGTAGCCAAACCACCCTAGGTTATACCCCAATACTGGAAACAGTAGAGAACTCCCCCACTCCAGACATTCACCCAAATGGAAGACCTCAGTGTGATAGAAGAGCTACATATGGAGGCAGCTAATGCCACCAAAGCGTACATGTAGATCTGGTCCCAATGGATCATCTCCACTGCAGCGACAGACTTTACCACTCAACTAAACTCAGAGACCTTACCTGACAGACCTCACAACTGCGACTAACACTGCACCCCCCAAACCTTCCCCCCTCCAATTCCCCCCTCCACTCCCCTCCCCCCCTTCCCCCCTCCCCCCCACTCTCAACACACTGGAGAATATCACATGCTAACTTCGACGTAAGCTTTCAAGAATACAAAAAACTGCAAAAGTCTAATAACGATGTTATGACTAAATGTTACAAACAATTTCTGACATATTAATTCTGTTTTTTTTAAGATAATTCAACTCTCTTTTGGAAAATTTCAGTCTACATTGGCTCTTGTAAAATGAATTCCACAGAATGTAATTCGACAAAAATGAACAAATGAAACAATTATCCATCAACCTCACAATGAATTTCAGATTCAAATTTATTCTCTAAAATGGTAAAATACAACCATATTTTGCTCTTCCTAAACAAATAGGATTTGTGCCTTGATGTGAAGAAAGATATTATATAAGTGGTTTATATGAATTTTACTTGCTCCTCTGGCACAAAATTATGTTTTGCTTTAAAGCCGACATGGAGAAAACTTTGAAAGAGTAGAGAGATCCTTTTTTTCTGATGACATTTAAAGATGGTATTTGGTCTAAATATTATTTTGAGGTATTCTATTCATTCCCTGGTGCATGCGTATGAGTTCTAAAGTATGAACAATTTACTTAGTCAGATGGTACTCATCAAGTATGTCCTTCATTCCTTTTATTATTTATTATAGAGTGGAACCTTCATGAAGTGATCAGAGAAAACAATATAATTGAGTAATTCATTTTAACTCACTCTCATCACAAAATCACAGCTTTTTCAGGTGATTTTTTTAACTTTTGTTAGTGAGTCAGACTGACCTTTACCAACAATTATTAAGAATTTTGAATTGTATGGAACATTCTCCTTTCTTTAAGTTAATTTCATTAAATCAGAAAGCAGATAGATCAAGTTACAACCATACATATTTAACACCTTAAAATCCACACATGCCTGAGGGCGTGTCCTGACCGCGAAGCAAGATGGCCACTTGAGCTCTGAGCTCCGCAACACAAGCCAGACAATCCGATCCAATCCGGCACACAATTGGGACAGATAGCCACACTTGCAGCCATGCCGCACTCCAAGACACGGAGACACACCGAAAAGGGTGATAAATTAAAAAATTTTCGCTCAAAAAAGACAGCCAGCCTCGCAACACGCATACCCAGGCCTTCAAGATGGCGACGGGTATTCCGGCGAGAGCAGCCCCTGCTCCGAATTGGACACATCAGACAGAAGTGGGGCTTACAGCCTTACTCCTACAGGCAGCCCTGGACAAACAATCCCCCAAACTGTTAGCCACCTGGCAGGAAAGTGTGGCTGAGATCAAGCGAGACCTACACGATCTAGGGTGGCGAACGGGGCAAGTGGAAACTGGTGGATAACATTGTGGATGCCCACAACCAAGCCGTAGACAGAATCCAAGCCCTGGAAACCCAACTTGCCAAATATGAGGTGAAGCTTATGGACCTCGAGGATAGATCCTGTCGGAGCAACCTGAGACTCTGCGGCATCCCTGAAGAGGTGCTGGAGGCGGGCCTACCCACCTTTGTCAACGGCTTCTTCAAGGCCTTACTACCAGACATCCTGGTCAACATGTTGCTGCTGTACCGTCTACACAGGGTCCCAAAGCCCAAACACATTGCTGCCTCATTACCTAGGGACCCTCTACTCAAGGCTCATTATTTTCATGTGAAGGAGCTGATCCTCCTCCGCAGCTGCACAGCTAAGGACTTACCACCAGAATTCACCAAAGTGCGAGTTTTCGCGGACATCTCTGCTGCCACACTGCAACACAGGAAGGCGTTCCAAAAAGTCACAGAGGTCCTCAGAGAGCACCGTATACCTTATCGCTGGGGATTCCCTATCCGCCTGATCGTCACGCGCAATGGCACCACCACATTGCTCCTGTCGCTGAGAGTCCAGCAGACCCACCATCTCCCAAACGCTTTGAAAGGGACTGGTCCCAAGCTTGAGTGCTGTCTGCAAGTATTTAATGCGCACTACCTACACGCACGCTGAGTGAGGCTTCTGCCCCACACAGTGCATTAAGCTTCTGTTGTATTTTACTATGTTGATATTCTTGTTTCTAATGTGTGCCATACGTTAGCAGTGCAGTGCAGCAGTTAAATTGTTATCCTAAGTTGCTACTGTTGTCGATGTATTACGTGTACACACTATGTCTCCCACCTACAGTGTAGCCGCAATGCCAGTTTTAGGCCGGCTCAGGCCTTCCACCTAACACCAACTTTGCCTCCACCCCCCCCACACGTACAGCTCACCTGTACCTTGTACCTACTGAGGTCTGTACTGTATATACTTATGTTGATTTTGTTCCCTTGGTTTTTATTTCCCCTCCCCGCCTTTTGCTCCAAAATACCATACCAAGCTCGCTCAAATGCCACACTGACAGCTCAAACCGGAGCCCCCACTGATTCAGTTGACGACATCACCCGCCTGAGGCCCCATAGCCACGAGTGTCCTGTCCTAGCTCTCACAATACTACCCAGCGGCAGACCCCAGTGGATCCGGCCCACAGCGCCACCATGGCAGAATGAGCACCAATCTCATAAACCACCCTGAAGATTTACTCCCATAATGTGCGTGGGCTTAACATGCCCCACAAACGGCACATGCTTTTGAATGAAGACAAAAAGCACGCCACAGACATTTTATGTCTCCAGAAGACACATTTTCCTAAAGCCCGTATACCCCAATTTGGCGTGAAATACTTCCCCATTCAATACCACTCCGTCTTTGCCACTAAGTCCAGGGGGGTATCCATATACATTCACAAGTCAGTAGCCTTTGAGTTACTACAGGAAATATCTGATATGCACGGTAGATACCTCATTTTAATCTGTATGCTGAACAACGCAATGTATACTTTGGTTAATGTGTACGCTCCAAATGAGCATCAACAAAACTTTTTACATAAGGTATTAACTAAGGTGACAGAAGTACAGAGGGGAATGACCGTGATTTGTGGTGACATCAACCATGTTCTCGACCCTAAACTGGACTCATCCACACAGACCCACTCCTTAATACAACGGACGCTTACGCCTCATTGCAAAGCCCTGATGAAATTGCTGTTACAAATCAACTTTTATGACAGTTGGCGTACGCTACACCCCTCTGACCAATCCTATTCTTACTATTCCAAAGCCCATAGAATCTACTCTAGGATTGACGTGATACTAGTTCAGTGCTCCTCCCTCCAGATCCAAGCATGCGACATAGGAGACATTGTCTGGTCAGACCATAGCCCTGTCACCATAGCCCTACGCGACAATTTCCATTTCTGTGGCTGTAATCCATGGAGGCTTAACACAGGGTTACTATCAGATGACTCCTTTAGGCAGGAAGCAGAGGGGGAACTCTTACAATACGTTACCACCAACGATATTCCCGAAACACACATCTCCTCCACATGGATAGCGCACAAGGCTGTCATGCATGGGATTTTCATTTGCAGGGCCTCTTACATCAAGAAACGAACCCAAACTAAAACATTATCCCTCCTCCGCACTCTGTGAGACCTCACTGCCCATCAATTCCTGAACCCGACCGCTGCTAGGGGGACTCAAATTGAGCAAACCCTGAGGGAGCTTAATGATCTCTACATCACACACACGGCGCACACTCTACATATGCTGAAAGAGAAATAGTACGCCATGGGTGACAAAGCAAGCGCTTTACTCGCCAGTAGATTGCAAACAGCTAACGCGCAGTCGAAAATAGTGTACATAGTGACTGACGAGGGCAAAAAAGTTATCAAACCCCAAGACATATGCAATGCCTTCGCACAGTTCTACAGTAAGCTATATGACCTACGGGATGATGCGGCGACACACCATCCCACACCTTAGACTGAGTAACTCTCCCTAGTCTGACGGACAACCAAGCCCACCTACTGACGGACACAGTTACACCACAAGAGATAGAACAGGTGATAGCTACCTTGCCTCCGCACAAATCACCAGGTCCTGATGGCTTCACCAATCTGTATTACAAAAGTTTCGCTTCCATCCTCTCCCCCAGATGGCAAAACTATTTGCTACAGCTACTGCTGAAAGTAAGCTTCTGCAAGAAATGCGGGAGGCCAATGTAGCCACACTACCTAAACCAGGCAAGCCTCCCACGAAATGCGCCAACTTCCGACCCATCTCCCTGCTCAATACAGACATTAAAATCTTGGCGAAAGTTTATGCGAATAGACTAAAATGTATCCTGCCCACCTTGATCCACTCCGACCAAGTAGGCTTCATCAGTGGTAGGCAAGGGGCAGACGGGACACACAAAGCGCTCGTCCTCCTACAGGGTATGCACCGAATGTCAACCAATAACATACTCCTTTCATTGGATGCCGAAAAGGCTTTTGACCACCTTTACTGGTCGTTCCTCCAAGCGGTCCTCGAAAAATTGAATTTCCCCCCACATTTCCTGGCGGTGGTTAGGGTGTTCTGTAATAAGCCCGCGGCCAGAGTAGTCAACGCAGGCTTAAGGTCGGTCCCCTTCTGCATAACTAACGGGAACAGGCAGGGGTGACCACATAAACAGGGTGCGCATAGATGGTAGTGAAATGAAATTAAACCTTTTTTCGCTGATGACATTCTCCTCACCATTACTGATCACAAAACATCACTGCCAGCATTTCACGACATACTGCATTCCTACAGCAGCTTTTGTAAAAATGGTAATATTACCTAGACTGCAATACCCATTCAGGACAGTCCCACTGACGGCCCCTACCCGTTACTTCCAGGTGATGCAAAAACAAAACAATATGTTCATATGGAACGGCAAAAACCCCAGGATAGGCACGACAACCCTTTATAGGACCACACACGATGGAGGCATGGGCCTACCTAATCTTTATGGGTACTACAGGGCGTCAATCCTGACTAGCCTGGTAGCAGCCCACCACTGTACCAACCCTCCGCAGTGGGTCTCTGTCGAGAGCTTCGGGGAGCACCGATAGAACATATCCACCCTGATGTGGCTAACCCCCCCCAGAGACCAGACCTGACGCAAGCGCTCCCCGCCACAACTACTACCCTGAGGGCACTCGTCTGTGCGGTTGCCACCCTGTCTCGATGGCCACGACCCTCAGGGCGCTAGCAGCGATGATCCCTGAGTTCAACTTCAAACTATGGAATAGATGTGGGGTTACACACTTGTATGACTTGCAAAACAAGGGAGCACTGCTGCCATTTCAGGAATTAAGCACATGATACACTGTCCCGCACATAGCACAATTCTCCTATAGGCAATTGAGGTCCTGGTGGCTCGTACACATGAAGACTCCAATGCTGGACCCCCAAACACGCCTCCTCACACACTTTGAAAAACGCTTGATTGCAGGTGCACCAGCCAAGGGGCCCATATCCATCATCTACACTCTCCTGAACATTACTACAGAACTCCGTCATCTCCTGTGGGCTAAAGCATGGGAAATTCCCAATGACGCCTGGCTTCGAGCCATCAATAGCTACAAAAGCTGGTCAGCCTGCGCAGCTCGCATGAAACTCATGTGCAAACTTGCATATAGATGGTACATGGTCCCCACACAACTGGCAAGGATATTGCCATCACAACCAGACATATGTTGGCGCTTCCATAGAGACACAGGAACATTCCTACACATCTGGTGGTGCTACGACATCATACAGAGCTATTGGAAAGAGGTTCTTTCTCTCATCCGTACACATACAAACATTGTAGTCCCCAACTCCCCAGCCTCCCTTCTACAGCTCACTACAGACAGCTCACTAACATACACACGCTCACATATGTTCACTTCAGAAAACTCATTGATACACACACAAGCTCCCTACAAAAAGCTCACTAAACAGAGCTTACTACAGACACACACACAAGCTCACCAATATACACACATAAGATCACACAACTCACTACAGACAGCTCATGACACTCACAAGTTCCCTACACACAAGTTCACTGACACACACACACCCACAAGCTCACTACACGCAGTTCATTACAGAAAGCTCAGTGACACACACAACTCACCACATATCCACAAGCTCAAAACACACAGCTCAATAGTTACACAAGCTCACCAATATACAAGGTCACACAGCTCACTACAGACAGCTCACTGACACCCACAAGCTCATTGCACAATGCTCACTAGTCACAAGCTCATTGACACAAAACCACAAACTCACTACACACAGCTCACCACTGAAAGCTCACTGACACATACAACTCACAACACCCCCCCACAATGTAGAACCAAACAGCTCACTACACACTCAATCTCACTTATATACACACATAAGATCACCAAGAACAACAAAAGAACAACAAAAGTACAGGAATGACAATAAAGTGCTATTTTCAATAATATACAGTAGGTGTGGGTAAATAAAATAGTTCAAAGCAATCTTAAACATAGTCCAAAATAGTCTACATATAATTATGAGTACCTCTTTAAAATGAATTTTGCAGTGCAATAGAAATTCTTGGGTAGGCAGTAGGTTCTTGTATCAGCGACTATGATGGGTAGAAGATTTTCTTAGTGTAATCCATACATATATGCAAGACAAGAAAACGAGAAATCCAATAGTGCAATATGTCAACTTAAATGAGTAATAGGTAATAAAACTCTGACAGTAATGTGCATTACATATACATACACAGAATTAGCTTACACACATTTGGTGGAGCAATGGCCAGCTCCAGTTTTGATAGCGTATAGTGGTATAATCCCCACTTACAGGATGTGTTGGTGAGGGTCTGTAGAAGATGGTGTCGGGGGACCCAAAATGACAAAATTATAGAAAGCAGGTAATAGTGTTCTCTTTTACAATAAATTTGGTAAAATATTAAAAATAGTAAATACTTAGAAAGGTGGAGCAGGCAAACTGCTCTATGGATAAGTCACCAGTGGTATGATCTTTGGAGTAGACAGGAAACAAGGTAGCCAGGAAGTAAGTATATTTAAAAAAAAAAAATATTATTTAAAACAAAAGTTAAATGGCACAGTATGCAAG